TCCGGTACGGGGGCAACACTGAGGGTTGCGATCCGTTGCCGGACACGGAAAAAAGACAAAAAAAAAAAATCAAGGGTTCGGATCCCTGTACTGGCCAACTGCCAAAAAAAAAAAAAAAAAAGCCCAATAGGGAGCTATGTATGTGTCCACCTAGGTCTTGTTCTACTGCCACTATTAATGTGTCCATCTAGGTCTTGTTCTACTGCCACCGTTGAGTAATATTTCCTTCAGTGATCTCTGATACTTTCAATTTTCCAATAAAAATTGACTCACCTAAGGCAACACAGGTAGTGTAAAAATTAAAAAGACTCCAGATTTCCTAAGATATTACTCTTCCTTTACCTTACTGGAAAACACTTCTAAAAGGCTCTTGAAATTAGAATTAGATGGTCCCTCCCTATGTCCAGTGAGTCTGAGAGGAGGGGGAAGGAAGAAAGGAAGGGAGAAAGGAAAGGAGGAGAGGGAGATTGAAGAATTAATGACAAGTGATTTGTTTGTTCCTTTTTTTAGAAATTTCAGGCTTAGGAATTTGATCTCTTATGATGTGGGAAAAGGACCAGGCAGCCACTTCCAGCTCAGCTCTCTACTGATATCTCCCCTTTAGAGGAATCTCCAAACTTGTCCCCAAACTGAGTCTTCTGGGGTCAGTAACTAACAGTCCTACAACCCAGCCAAAGGCAGGTGAGGTGGAGAAAAAGGTAAGAAGTAAGAAAGGCAGCTGAGATGAAGGGAGAGGGACCCATTCTCTTCCGTCCCACCCAGAGAGCACGAGGCTACCCTCAGTTTAACAGTTTATCTGTCCTGGGGCCGGCCCGGTGGCGCACTGCTACAGTGCGCCGCTTGGGAGTGAGGCGGCACTCCCGCCGAGGGTTCGGATCCCACATACAGACCGGTTGCTCACTGGCTGAGCAAGGTGCGGGTGCAACACCGAGGGTTGCGATCCCGTTGCCGGTCCCGGTCCGGTACGGGCGCGACACTGAGGGTTGCGATCCGTTGCTGGTCATGAAAAAAGACAAAAAGAAAAAAAAAAAATAGTTTATCTGTCCTGACAAGGGCACCAGTACTAGTGTTTCTGAAAGCATTCAGCAGAGGTACTGCTAGCAGAGTGGTTACTGCTTCAAGGCAGAAAACAGTACGTTGAGAAGAGTTGTTTGAGGAAAAATTTTAATTTACAATTTCCTCTAACAAACGAGACTACAATGGGGAGAGGCAGGTGGGGAGAAAAGCTGACTGATGTGGGTACTGTAGCTCATTATAGAGAGGTGACACAGGTCCCTGTTTGCCTGGGACAGTCCCAGCTCATTTATTAATGGCATACTCATCCACTCTCAAAAGAGTCAGGTTTGAATGATACATTTCATGCTCACCCTAATTACAGATGAGTCTAGCTGCTTGCTGGCTAAGCTAGGCCCAGACAGAGATGCTTTCTGAAAGAGATGAAAGTGCTGCAGACAAAAGTTTCAGAGGGTTCAGATCCCCATACTGGCCTGCGGTACCCCCTTCCCCCCACATAAAAAAAAAGCTTCAGAGGAGCCTTTCAGGACAGTGTGGTTTTAGTCCCTGAAGGCCAGCTCTACCCTAAGGAGTGGGAAATCTGTTGTGAGTGTGTGTGTGTGTGAATGTAAGCACACACTATAATATTATAGAGAAGGCAGAGAACACAGTCAGAAAGAGTGACAAGAGAAAGACTTAAACGAGGCAGAGAGACCAAGACATAAGAAGGGAAGATATAGAAAAAGAATGGCCTTCTCAGGCCAGGTGTGGTCACTTGCTTTTTATTCATTCATTCAACCATTCATTCTCAGTGGAAGACTGAGGCACGGGAACTAACTGGATCCAAGGAGTAAATATAGCCCTACCTAAAGTTCCTAAGTTCTTCCATCTCATTGAGAAGGCACCAGAGGGGCAAGATCCATGGTGGGAAGTCTGTAAACAGAGGGTTTAAGGCTTCAAAAGTATTCTACAAAAGTTTCATTCTCAAGAGAACGAAACCAGTGCAAATCCACACATCAAAGACAGCTCTTGACAAGAAACCTTTCCAGAAGGTACCCCCACACACTGCGGTATGGAAAGATCTTACTGATGAGATTTAGGGGCCTCTTTAGTTGTCATCAGAAAACAATTTAAAATGAAATCAATAAACAACTTATCTGTAAACTTAGGATCAGAAATATATTTTGACAATGCATCGAAATGAAAGAGGCCAATGTTGCAATGCTAATACAGCCATGAGGATGGTGTCACTTAAGCAGTCTAGAAAAGGCCAAATGAAGAGTAGGAATGAGGCAGTGCTTGCCCAGTGCTGTCCAAGGAAGATGCAAATGCCATCTGGCATGCCTGAGAATGCTGGCAAGAAAGGAGGAGTGTCCCTGGCCTGCAGCCTTGCCCTCAACAACACTCTCCTCTTTTTTTAAAGATGACTGGTAAGGGGATCTTAACCCTTGGCTTGGTGTTGTCAGCACCACGCTCAGCCAGTGAGTGAACCGGCCATCCCTACATAGGATCTGAACCTGTGGCCTTGGTGTTATCAGCACTGCACTTTCCTGAGTGAGCCATGGGCCAGCCCTAACAACACTCTCTTCTGAATCCACATCTACCTTGCTTGATTTAAGTTCCTTGAGAGTGGGGGTAGGGTTGCAAGATAACATACAGAATGCCCAGGTAAATATGAATTTCAGATCAATGAAATTTTTTTAGTACTTAGTGTTATTATTTTAGTATTTTTTAGTATTTAATCCCATGTTTATACATGTCTGTCCCAGGCAATATATATTTTATTCATTTTGGGGCTGGCTGGACAGCACAGGGATTGAATCCTGGACCTTGGTGTTATAAGCACCATGCTTTAATGAACTGAACTAACCGGCCAGCTCTTATCCCATGCAATATTTGGAACATATCTACACTAAAAATTATTTGTCATTTATCTGCAATTCAAATCTACCTGTGTGCCATGTATTTTTATATCTGGCAACCCCTAGTGGGGAGTAAGGCATGAGATCTCTGTTTGGGTGTCCACCTTTGAACCTAGAAGAGTATCTTGTACATGGTAGATGCTCAGTAGATAGTCGGAGTGCCTAAACTTGAATTAAGATGATGAACTGCTTGTAAAAAGCACTGACAAGAGAAAGATTTAAACAGGGAGGCAGAAACGGAACAGGGAATATGTGAAAAGCAGGAAGTCATAACTTGCATTGTGCTCATCCATTCCAGAATTATTTATGAAGTATGCACTACATGTAAGGAATTCTGCTTTTGAGAGGTCTTGGCTCCTAAAGCTAGGTTTGTATGATCTTTTCCGCTTGTACTTTATTTTAAAGAGGTAGCGTTTTATTTGAAAGAGTTCCCTTTTCATCAAGCATCACATGAGATTCTCATGCACAGCAAGTTGTGTTGGTGGGCAGGAATGAGCAGGTAGGAGGGCAGGGTGGTGGTGAGACTCTTAAAAGAGGACACTACTTTCCAGAGGCTAAGGGACAGAGCAGGATTCTGAGGTCCCCATAAATACTCACCTTTGACAGCTTGCTGGACATAGGCTGTCGTCCCATCACTGAGGGTCACCGTCTGTAGCCCCAAGCTCTCCATGGCAAACTGCTGCTCGTGCACTCAGACATGAAGCTGGTTTCTGGCCAGAACCAAGAGCCACGGCTGAGGTTAGAAATTTCCTTCTGGGTCACAAATCTGAGAAAACGGACAGTGTCACATTATGAGTTGCATAGCTTCCACCCACTGCAAGGACATGCAGGGAAGGAGGCCAGCCAAGAAGAAAGAGACACATTCTTCAAAGTAGAGAATTGTTAGTTTTTATGAAAAGGTCTTAAAATATCTAAGAATTCTAAAAGTTGAGCACAGAAGAGAGCATGCCAGTCAAACTGGTTATAAAATAAGAATTCACTGATCAAAATCTACTTGTAAACTTGCTCCCTTCAGAAGGGAGCCCCACTGAAGGCTGGCAGCCAACTCCACTCTGCTGGTTTTCTCTGCCCATCCCAACATCTCTCCCGTGCTCAGACCCATACATCCGCTGACCCTGCTGACTATCCTCAGGGAACACCCCACAGGCATCACAAATGAAACAAGTCCCCAACAGAATTTGCAGTGTCCCCCTATCCAGAACTGTTCTACTTCTAGTATCCCCTATCCCAGGGATGGCACCTCCATCCATCCAGAATTGGTGAGGCCATCCTTGAGTCCTCCTTCTTCCTCAAAAATCCAGGTACCCATTTCAGGCAAGTATCACCTCTCACCTCTTTTTTTTTTTTTTTTTTTTTTTTTTAATCCTATATAAAGATGACTGGTAAGGGGATCTCAACCCTTGGCTTGGTGGTGTCAGCACCATGCTCAGCCAGTGAGCAAACCGGCCATCCCTATATAGGATCCGAACCCGTGGCCTTGGTGTTATCAGCACCGCACTCTACCGAGTGAGCCATGGGCCGGCCCCACCTCTCACCTCTTGACTACTGTAAGACCCTCATAATCTATGTCCTCAGATAAACTCTTGCCTGTAACCAATTCATTTTCAAACATGCTGGGGGAAAAAAAGTACAAACCTAAATATACCGCTTCCTTGACCAAAACTCTTCAATAGCTTCCTTGCCCTCAGAGTCCACTATGCAGCCAAGGCTGGGTCCTGTTATAAATTCCTGCAGCCTTGGGCAGCATCTCTTCCTAGCACTCAAACCCCTGGGCTCACCTGTTTTGGTACTTATCACTATCTGTTTAATGTTCATTACCTACACAAGA